TGAAGGCTAGAATCTGCTGGCCAAGTTGGGCCTGGCATAGCCGAAGGTCTACTGTTACACCCTCCGGGTCATTCTGATTCTGCTGGAGGTTCTCATAGGCTGTCCGGAGGAAGTCGAGTTCTGTCTGAAGTTCGTCGATCTCTCCCTCCAAGCCGATGATGCCCTGTTTAAGATGATGGTTTTCTTCGCGGTATTCGTCCACCCGGCCGAACATGTTCTGAAGTTTGGCTGAGCCAGCCTCGGAGTAGCCGCGAGCCTGTAACCGCTGCTCCAAGTCCTGGCGCAGGGTGGCTACTTCGGCCCGAGACTGCTCCAGCATGTCCTGGAGTCTGGTGACTTCGGTCTGGTCATAACGGCAGGGCTCCTCAGTTACTTGCAACTAGGCCTCTAACCGTTTGATCTCCTGGGTGAGGTCGTCAACGGCGGCGTTCGCATGTTCGAATTGAGCCGTGAGCCGCTTGCGCTCCTGTTTGTGCGAAGCAACCGTCTGCGACAAGACATTCTCCGTCGATTCGACGATGTTTTGCCCGGCCAAGAGCTGGTTTTGCAACTCATAAATCCGTTCACGGAGGACCTGTGGGTTGTCGATCTTCTCCGGAGGGGTCTTGGTCAGGTACCGCCAAGGCGTGTAGTCCGAGGCTCCAGTGTGTGAGCCTGGGTACTGCTTCGGTGACGGAAACCTGAAGCCCTTCCTACTGTCCGGACGCTCGGTCACCTTAATGGGTAAACGGTTGCGTCGAACACGGTCGGTGACGGGGTCTTGTCTGCCCCGGGGCCCGAGGGTTCGAACGTCGGTGGTGTAGCCGGTAGGTCCGTGGTTGGCTTTGCAACCTTCGGTGAAGCCGATTTCGACTTCCGGGTAGCCTGTGAGGCTTCGGTCCGGCTTGCTCGGGTCAGCGTAGGTTCACTGCCGGGGGTGGTGGGTTTCGGGGATGACGGTCCACCAGCCGAGGTTAAGTTAACCTCGGTAACCAAACCCTCAACCTCGTCCGCGGAGGCTATGTCCGTTGCAACCGACGAAATCCGGAATTTTACCGGAGAAACGGCTTTCTTAGCCGAGGAAGTTGGGGTTGCCGGCCAGGTTTCAGGTGTTCCAACCTGTTGGGTCGGAGTCCGGGCCCCGGTGTTCGGGGTCCGAGCCTCGGTGTCCGAGACTTTTGCCGACTGCAACCTTCCCGTTGGTGATGTTGGTGTTCCCGAGGTCGGCTTCGGTGAGTTCGAAGTCCGAGTCGTAGTCTAGGTAAGGGTCCTCGGGTCCGATGTGGTCGCTTTCGGGGTCCCGGGGGGTCGTTTCAAGTCCGGCGGCGACGTCGATTTCCGACTGTTGTCCCAAGATTTGGGGTGGTTGCCTGTTCGTTTAGGGTTTTAAGCCAGGGTCGGTGGGGACTAAGTCGGTGAACCCGTCTTGTGGGTCACCCCCCGCATCGGTGATACCGTACCCGTCGATTGGCTCGGGCTCATCTGGCCTTGCCTCTGTTTCGATCCAGCCATGCCGCCCTGTTGGGGCAACACAGGGTCACCCATGTCTGGTGACACCTCGGAGCTACTTAGCGCCGGGCTCGAGGCTTCATTGTCCGGGGTGATGGCCGGGAAGAAGACTGGCGAGGCACCTATTGGGTGCATAAGTCCAGCCGCAGGCTCGGAGTTTGCGTTTTGGCCTATTGGGCCGTGCAAAACCTCCGGTTCAGCCTGTGGTAGCTCGAGGAACGTCCGGTCGTGTGCGTCCTCAAAGCTATCCTCCGGCGATAGGGTGAAGTCGTTCGCCAGAAACCGCGCATCTCGCTTCTCCTTGGCTGACTTGATCGACTGGTTGGATTTGCCGGACTTCCTCCATCGGTTGGAATCGGACGAGTGGGGCTCGCTACCCGGGCCAGCATGACGGAAGGTGTACCCGCCTGCGTCGTCACGTCGGGCATAGCCTTGATCGAACTTCCGTTCGTACGGGTTCTCTCGACCGGACATCTTCAGCTCTATTGGAGCTATGGAGTAGCACCCGGGCTGTCCCTTCAGCCAAGAAGTCAGACTATCCCAATTGGGGACTGTCCGAGGTTGATGAGGCTCTTAGCCTGGTGAAGGTCCAAGGGCCTGGTGGAGGGGGGGGATGAGGTCCGGTGGAGGGGGGGCAGAGGTTTGGTGGGGTGAGGGGTGATGGTGTGGGTGTGCTTGTACTACTTGCAACTCAGTACTGTTGTCAGCTTACGTACGTCCTATACTACAGCACTGTCCGCTATGACGTCACACACCACTAAATGGTCTTGCAGATTACTGCCTAAGTCACGATTCTACGCGCCGCGTGCAAAATTCCAAAAAACTATGGCTCACTACGGGCCTATAGCATAGGGAATCCCCGCTATCCTGATTGGTCAGAATTCATATTGTAAAATTGGCCGTCGTGACGTCACAATTATTTTAAAATTTGCATTAATTATTTTCCGCGTCAGAACAATTCCAGAAATTCAGGAAAAATTCAAGAAAATAATCTAGCCGGCCAAAAATTGTTTTAGCTGGGAGAAAGTTATTCCCTTAATTTTCTAGAAATTAGAAGAGGTTGAAAACCGAGGCTCAGAGGGTCTACACAGAGGCTCGAGGGTCCGGCCTAGTAAGGCTAGCTAACCCTGTTTTTACCCGTAAAAAATGTTTTCCAGCCCGTTTTATCCTGGTAGAGATAAGTTTTAGCCGGCCAAATTACTTTTAATCCGGTGAGAATAAGAAATACCCGGCTATATCGGGTCTACCGAGGCTCTACATGGTTTACCGAGGGTCAATCGACCCATTTTACCGGGTTAATCCGAGTCGCTCCGCTGGGTTATCCGGTGAATCTCGCGCTGTTAAAGTTGCGGGTGCCACTTAAGGCAAAGGCGACCCCGATTGATGAAGCTGCGAGGGTCCGCTGGGTCCGTACCGTACGTTCTGTCCGGGGATCCGCGGAAACCGCTAATCAACCCGCGCAAAGTCCGTCCAAGGGTTGTTACCGCGAGGAACGTTCCGTCCACGCGCAAGAGAAGGGTCCGCTGAGGCTTTCTGCCCGCAAGAGAGACAAAAGAGACCAGACCGTTCTGGCCGGCGGCGATCAGATGGGGATAGGAACCTTCGGTTCTCCCCTGTCTTCTCGTCGGCCGTTACGGATGTAGTTCTACACCGTGGTCTCAGAAGGTTCGCAGAAGGAAAACACTGGATCTGCGATCATGTGACAGCAGCAGGGCAAAGGCTCACGATAGTGAGGAAAAGGCTTTATTGTGGATAGCAATAAAGTACAGGAAGAACCCAAACACAAAGGCTCGGTGCGAGCAGTAGCATGAAAGTACATTGAATGATAATGCTAGTGAATGCTAATGAACGGCACATCGAGCCAAAGCATGGAAAAAGCCTAATACGGCACTGGGCAGATCCAACACGAGCGAAACGAACGCTAATAGGCCGAGATGTGGAGATGGGGCGTGGCTCTGCCTACATCGAGGCCGGGGATTGGCTGAGACGAGAGGCTGGGCGGAAAGCTGCCTGAGTCGAGGCCGATCTAGCGCTCGACAGCGAGTGCGACTCGGTGTGAGTCAGCACACCGGAAGCGGGACTGTCGCTGGCTGCCCTACTCGTAGGCTGCCATAGCGACTGGCCCAACATTAGCTTCTAGAGAGTTCGCAACTTAGCAACCTAAACAACTGTTATTTAAAATTGCCAATTACATCAAACATAATTTTATTTTTTCTAATTCTTGAAACCTTTAATACGTTCTTAAATCCGTTCGATTACCTCCAAATAACTATACATTTTTCAAGGTCGGCTTTAAAGCTTCATTTCAAGAATTTCTAGATATTTCGACTCGGCGCAGCGAGGCCGTTACCTCTAAATATTTTTAGCCTCCAGAATTTCTAAATTTTAAAAATATCTAGGAATCTGAGTACCTCAAAATCATCGACGGGAAAGTGCACTACATTACTCTCAAAGAAAAAGCGTTTGTTCCTTTTTTTATTGCAACCTAAAGCAAGAAGGTATTACAAAAAAATCCTAAATAAAAAACCAAGCATGTTTTTTGAAAGACACAATGTGTATTGTGTGTTCATTGCATACTTCGTCTAGCGCATGCAGTATTTCACAATTGCTTTTTTATAGAAAGATACTTTCCTTGCAAAATAGTCGATATATTTGAAAGGCTTGCTTGGTAAAGATGTTTCACTCGTTTTTACGATTTGATTTTGCGAGCTGTGATAAGAAAAGTTGCATATAGTTTAAAGCATCATTACAAACGGATCATATTTTAAAGTTTAGTTTTAAATTTTAGTTTTAAAGTTTTCAGAAATGTGTTGTTGGTTTTGGCAGCTCTTGCAGCAATCTATTGGCACACAAGCTAATGTCTTTATGGTGAAATGGAAAGTTTAAAATCTTGAACGTAATATACTCACACGTGAATCACGTGATGTAGGAACTGTATAAACAAAAAAGAACATGATGTTAAAGGAATGTTAAAGGACATACACAATTATTTTCCCTTCATTATTAATGTGTTTAAATGTTTTTGTTTTTCCGCAATATGTAAACATTTATTGTTTATATCACCGGTGAATCAGCGCATCAGTTAGCGCTTAAAAAGATATTATAAAATTTTACCAAGTTAATTTTTTCTGGACCTAACGAAAATGTCGAGCGCTATGTTATGGTAAATATAATGTAGTAACAACCCAGCACATTTTAAATAAACTTTATCAATTTTCGATAAACTGACACTGGTCAAAGATTTCATTGCCAAAACAGAGTATTACGACTAAAATGCATTTTGAACTAGCCTTTCAGGAATGGTAATTAAAAATTCCTTATTCAGTAGGGTATAATTAAAGGTGCAAACTTCGGTATATAACTCAATAGCAATGAAATGGCAAATACGTAGGATTTCCGACTGCAGCAATGAAATAGCAGTGAAAATCTGCAGCTTTGAGAATGCAGGCTTAAAACCTTCCCTACTTTCTATATTAAAAGCTTAACAACGCCGCCGCTTGCCCTAAGGGCGGTTACGACCTTCTATGCTAGCAATAATATAAGTCCAGCACATGGATGTTGTAGCAGGAGAGACGACGAGCATCTTGCAGTTGCATATTAAAGTTAGCGCGTATATTTCCACTGCCGTTCCTCACCACAAGTCTGCAGAAGTCTGCAAATATCTACTCGAAGCCGTCACTATTTATGGCTAAACTCCCCTGCTGCTATGCTGTGTATATCTCGCCTGTTATTTCGGTGCTCTTTGGCTGGTATAGCCAGTTTTTGTTGGTGCTGATATTGTATTTCGTCCGGTGTAACACAGCCACTTTTCCCGATATCATGCTTCCTAATGAAGTAGAAGCTGCCAATGTTTATAAAATCATTGATGGAGACGATCGATTTTATGTAACTTCACCCGGCTATCCGAATAACTACCCTGATAACACCCAGGCAGCATACTGGCTTCGAGGCAATGGGCGCCCTGTTATGGTACAAACTGTGCCCGTGGTCTAACGCTTGTGCCTTTGGTTTTGCCGAATTTATACCCACTTTACACAATACATGTTTCAATTTCTACCTGTTTGCATAAGCTGTAACATACAGACTGCAATTACAGCTAGATGTGAAGAATTTCGAGTTGGAAGCGCCTGATTCCCACCTAGTGTGCAGAAAAGATTACCTCGTCATCTGGGATCTTTTATGTAAGCAATTTTAGATTTATTCTACTATAGAATTTCTAATATCATTAATTTTGAGGAGTATGCGCCATATGATATTCATTTTGAGGTAATTCGTCCCATTCTTAGATCCACACCTGGTTCTGAAAGTTGCTTGCGGGAATGCCCTTTTTCAGTTCAAGTCGTACAGCGACTCTGTTGTAAGCCGTCAGTAAGGAGTAGCTCAGAGAAGACTGATGACCACTACAAAATTTGCTCCGCAGCTCCTGCTTTTTAATTCCGATTCCGCACAAAATTTCAAAGGATTCAATTTATCTGTATCAAGTAAGACTTCATTCCTCACACATAACAATTTAAGTTGTTCGGTGATTTTTTACAGGAGCGTCTGACTGCGGCGAGAACGAACTCGTATGCCCTTCGAGCCGATTAGGCGGACCACTTAAATGTGTAGATCCTGAGCATATTTGCGATGGTAAACGTGTGATGACTGTCAATAGGCAACACTACTGCCACCGATAAGGTAGGAGAATGTTCAACTGTAAATTTATGCAGGAGTGTTTGATTGTGCCGACCAGGAGGATGAAATCTGTACCGTGAATTGCGGGTTGCCATCACCACCTCCGGTCATCATAGCCACCACGCCGGTGATGGGTTCAAAGAATCGGATTGTGGGAGGAATCGATGTAAGCTTTAGCAATCGATAATGATCGGTAGTTTGATACGGGGCTTGCAAATGCAGGCTGCGCAAAATGCTTGGCCATGGCAGGTGGATGTGTCCATAAATAATGCAACATGTGGAGGATCTTTGGTGAGCCTCTAAAATTGTCGGTTTTTACAGTACCATAAATTGTATGAACTGCATATTGTACCTTTAGTTAGCCCCGCGTTGGGTAATAACAGCCGGCCACTGTTGCAAAGAATACGGTGTAGAGGTACGCGATTCGCAAACGTTCTCAAGCATGCCAACACACAATATTGAAAGTGTAAAACTTAGGCAGTTTCCACTGGAAAGCTACGTTGTTCGGGTGGGATACACTGGCTGCCAAAATAAAGAGGACGGACAAACCGTGACACTGGCAGATAAGGTCGTCCATCCAAACTTTGCGGAAGGTTCGGCAGGAGCGAATTATGACTACTGCATACTCTTCCTGGGCGAAGTAAGTTCGCGTTGTAATATCGAATTCGACTACGGTTCTGAGAAAAGCCGAAAGGTTCTAAAGTTTGGTTTGTTTGCAGGAGGTGCAATTGTCGCCGCAAGTTCAGCCGATATGTCTGCCTCGTCCGGGATTAGTCGCCAACCCTGGTGAAGTATGCACGGCTACAGGGTGTGGAAGTACTGCGCAGTGGACGGGCCAAGGTGCCCACAGCGTTGAATTACCAAAGCAGTTGCAGGTTGTCAATTTAACAATTGTCAATGGATCCCAGTGTACCAAAAACTACGACACAATTTCCCCGCAGATGTTATGCGCCGGCATTCCCAATAAGGACGCGTAAGTTCAGTACACTAACCAGGGCACGTTCTCCGGGTCTAAATTTAGAAAATTCTGATATTTTGTAGAAAGGTTAAAGGGAAGTGGCCCGGTACATGGTAACAAATTCGTGTATGTTCACGAAATCTTTCACTTTCGCGCATGTACACGAATTTTTGTACATTTCCTTCACATTTTGCACGTAAATGCACATGGCCACGAAGATCGTTTTTACACCGATCCAGACTTCCATGATTTTTTTCAAATTTTAAAATGAATTTTAAAATTTTTTAAATTCATTTTAAAATTTGAAAAACTTGCTAGAACAGTGGATTGATGTAAAAAGTTCTTCATGGTTATGTGCATTTACGTGCAAAATTTGAGGGAGATCGGTTCATAATGAGACTTTTGGTACAACTGAATGCAATTACAGTGAAACCTCTCTATAAAATACAAGCACGGTTCCATCAGTTTCGTATGTTATACTGGGGTGTATTTTATAAAGGGAAACCGCCCCCAGGGGCGTTGCAATAATTTGGGGTGGGGGGGCGTCGCAGTACATGTACTTTATTAATGCAACCTTAAGGGAGTAGCAAGAATCTGTAGTACAATACAAATTTGTACTTCATAGAAGTACATTACAACATACGAACTTCGTTTTGAGTTCATACTTCATCATAAAGTATGATTAGTTCATGAAACCTCGTAAAAAATATTTTGTGAGATATACTTCTGCATATAGTGATTACCATTTACATGTACAGATGCTCCATATTAGTTCAGGTAACATCAGATTGCATTTGGCTACCTGTATGCAACTGTATTCCACCGGAGCTGAATGTTGTTCAGAGGTTCTCTACAGGGTACTAAATTACTACTAATAAACCCTGGGAATGGGATTTGGGAAATGGTATCGGGAATTGGTATTGGTAATGGTATCGGTAATGGGAATCAACATAATTGTTGGGAAAGGTATTTCGTAATGGGAATGGGAAAACGACTGATAAAATTGAGCAGGCGAAGCTGAAAATGTGTTCGTTTCTTGCATAAAATAAATTTCAAAATACGAGTATTTAGGCTCATTGTTTTATTTTTATTTTTCAAATTTTCTATTGCGACCTTTTATTACGGCTCAGGAAAACTGAAATTGGAACCCCTTGGAATGCCACTATGCACTATGTAGCCAAACATGGATTAAGTGGATGAGGTGGATGTCATCGCTGAGATGCTAATATCTGCTCGCGTTAACAATTCATGGATCTTTTTTGCAGAACTATTTTAAAAACTATTGAGGTACTTACCCAAAAGATGCCCGTTACGGTTTAGTAAAGTTACTTTACGTGATAACCTCTAGGTAACCGAAAGCCCAACGCCGGATTTTTGTGTGTGAGGAATTCCTTGCCTCGAGAATTCAAATTTGCACGTGGTTTTATTATACATTTGAATATTTTCTTTATTGAATACTTTTGAACTTTTTTGAAATGCATATAGCTTAAGGCTTCAGAAATATTTGAGCACACAAAAAACGTAATTTTTATATAAATTTGAAACGCTTTTTTATTCACAAATCCGTGTAATAGAAGATTTGAAATAAATAATTAGCCGTGCACGCAGCCAACACCCGTGCTGAAATTCCGTGCCCGCACTCAACACCCTTCCAGGCACGGTCATCCGTGCATTTAGCCAACGCCCGCTTTTCAACGTGCACGCAGCTATAGTGTAATAATTTATTGTTTAACTACGGGCCAAATGATATTCGAGCTAAAAATCCGAACGTATTTGTTGATATTACGATTACGATATTACTATTCTGTTTTATCAGTCGTTTTCCCATTCCCATTCTCATTACGAAATACCATTCCCAACAATTATTTTGATTCCCATTACCAATTCCATTACCAATACCAATTCCCAATACCATTTCCCAAATCCCATTCCCAGGGTTTATTAGTACCCTTCTCTACACTCGTTAAACCGTAGTGCATATGAAGCCGCGTACGCGGCTTCATATGCACTACGGTTAAACTGCATTCCGTTCCGCGGAAAGTGTATGTAAGACTTATAAAAAAGTGAATGTTATAAAGAGAATCCCCCCTATGTTATAACATGCGAGCCAATTCGGTTCCTTGCGGGTTGTATGTTATAGAGAAGTGTGTTTAATAAAGAAGTGTATGTAACGAGAGGTTTTACTGTAAACTTTTTGGAATTTTCTAACGGCCATAACTCCCGAACTGAATGTTGCGCTCACAAACGGTTTTCACGCCAGTGTATACAAAACATCTGGCTGCAGAATGTCATAAAACAAGAGAAAAAAGGGTTTGGAGTGCGCGAAAGTGAAAGATTTCCTGCATGTACACGACTTTGGTACCATGTACCGGGCCACTTCCCTTAATACTACCCCAGTATATTAAAAAAAAAATTTCATCTGCAAAGGCTCAAGGCGTGCCCAACCAACAATTGAATGATGAAATATCACTACATACTACTCGTATTTACTGCTGATTAGAGCACTGGCGCTGCGCAGTCTCATTATGAAAGCTTCTTTTTGATTTTGCGAGCCTCGCACTAGTTGTGGACACTTTCAGCACGCCCCCCATCACATCCCAGCCCAATTATATTTGTCAGACATACTGTGAAGTATTAGCTAAACCGCAAACAAGGAGTGTCTGCATTTCAGGCTATATTAATGTGCTTTTAAATTAACTGATATCAGATTTTGGAAATTTCGATTTGCATTAACAGCCGGGCCACCGCACGCGCGCTTTGGTTAAGCATCACGACTTACAACTGGTAGGGTCCAATAATTTGTTCGTGCAATACAGTAAAATTTAATGAGCAAAAAGTATAGCCTGAAAGAGTACTACGAAGTACTGCATCAAATACCAATACACTGCAACAATATGTAGTCCTGTGTGTTCATTTAATATTGTTTGGCTACGCCCTTTGCAGTGTTGTAATATTGTAACAAGCAGGACGCGCGGCGCTTATGCGCCACGCTGACGCGGCCCACGGTATCAAACGGCTTAAAAGTGTGGGTACCGCACGCGTGGCCTTCGGTTACCGAAGGCTTTAAATGGTGGATCCCGCACACACACCTTTTGGTTTCAAAAGACGTAAGTCAATCACTAAGTAGTGATTGACCGATCGCGTGGCCTCCATTTATAAAAAGCTGGAAGGCGTCAAAGCGGGTTCTTAAGGTTTCGTTAGCTTAGTAAGTACTAAAACTAAAGGTGTGATCTGGATGATCTGAATAATTGGACTGATCATCGTACGGGTGCTAAGAATTTGAAAGCTTAGTACTAATGCTAAAGGGAGGATCTGGCTGATCTGGCTGTCCATGCAATCTCGTACAGGTGCTTAAGTTTTGGATGGTTCTAAATGATTCGGTAGTTAAGGCTGATCTGGCTATTTTGGTAGATTGGTAGATTTTGCTAATTATGACGGTGCAAAGGTTTCAAAAGCTTAGAAAGGAAAAACTATTAAAGAAATAGGTACGTATCAAAAGCTGGAAAGCTCAAAAGCCGTAAGGCGGGTTCTGGCCAATCAGGAAGATTTGGAGGCGGGAGTGTGACGCACAGACAGCTCTGCTTTAATATAATGACAAGCAGCTGACGCGGCCACAGTTTCAAACGACTTTAAAGTGTGGGTGCCACACGCGTGGCCTTCAATGACTAAAGGCTAAAAGGCCTTCTGTTACCAAAGGCTTAAATGGCCTTCAGTGACCAAAAGCTTAAAAGGCCCTCGGTTACCAAAAGCTTAAAAGGCCTGCGGTGACAAAAAACTTTAAAAAGCTTCGGCGACCAAAAACTTTAAAAAGCTTCGCTGACCAATGGCCTAAAGGCCTTCTGTTACCAAAGGCTTAAAAGACCTTCGGTGACCAAAAGCTTAAGAAGCCATCGACGACCAATGGCTTAAAAGGGCGTTGGTTACCAAAGGCTTAATAAAGCAGGTACTGCACGCGTAGCATTCGTTCACCAAAGGCCTTCGGTGACCAAAGGCTTCATAGGGCGGGTAAGGCACGCGTGACCTTTGGTAACTAAAGGCTTAAAAGACCTAAGGTGGTCAAACGCTTGAAAGGCCTCCAGTGACCAAAGGCTTAAAAGGCCTTTGGTGAACAAAGGCTTAGTAGGGCGGGTATCGCGTGCGTTGCCTTCGGTAACTAATGGCTTAACCCAGGAAAACCGGGTACTAGAAGGGATGGGACTACAGTTTTGAAAATTGGCAGTCTGGGACAAAAAAATTCAATTAAGAGAAAAATGTTTTTTTTTAAATTTTAGCGACCATAGGTCAAGCAGGAGATGACCATGTCGGCCTAACACGCATGGTAACCATGTTGCGCCGACATGTTATTCACTGCCGTTTATAACAAATGATAAAAAATCTCATAGAATATGTCAATAGCTCAAACAATAGATCTCAACGAGTACTTCAAGATGGGTGTATTGTGGTGGTCATCAAGATGACCAGTGGTCAAGGAAAATTTTTAAACAAAAAAGCACTGATATGCACCATTACGTAGCTACTTGGGTATTTCGCAATAGGTGGTCACTTTTGCCAGGACCAACTCTATACATAGAATTGGTCCTGCTTTGCTTATTTCTGGGACAACTGGTCATCGGCTTTAATGTAGATAACGCGTACTGTACGTAATCCGAGTGACGTGTACAGTGAAAGTAATGCTGTATCCGGTCGTGAAACTGAATGGGATACCGGCGATAAATAACAGGAAACATTTCTGCGCTGATCACCATCGTTAACTGACCAGTGTCCAACTTCTTCAACGTGTTTCACAAGTGAGTAAAGTGACCAATTATTGAGAAATACGGAAGTATCGCGCAGCAAGGTCAGTAAAGTTCTGCTAAAAACAACCGGTCACTCAAGTCTTTACAAAACTACAAATTTTAGTATTCAGAAAGGAAGACAGGACTTCTAAGCCATTTCTCCTATACGTTAAATTCTCCGCTTAATTTGCACAGATTGATTTCTAAAGGTTACGAGGCACGAGCGCTCAGGAACCGGAAGGTCCAAATGAATTTGATGCAAGGGCAAGCTCAACTGGAACAGTATCAATAACGCGAGCTTAATAACATTTACAAGATTTCTCTCTCATTACTACCGTTTAATTCGGTTGAAATTGCAAAGAACATACGAACTCTCCCAGGAACAATAGAGTAGCCAGTGCGGTGCATGGCAATAATAACGTTCTACACACAGGCAAATGCACTGCACAGCCGATACAGCTATTTGCGCCACTGGTACAGCCCGACGTTGAGTCAATTTTGCAATCCACTGTAGAGAGTTCGGGCCGTATTTATTTCAGAGCTACCGAAACAGTCATTACGCAGTTGTTTTGCATTTTAATCACATTGATTCTAATGGCCTTCAGTCAAAAAATAGATTTTTCGGATTTCTCGTCCGTGCTGACCAGTGGTCACTTTGCTGACCGCTATGCTCCAGTCAGTTAATACAGATTTTTATGGGCTTTCTTTTGATTGTCTGTTGTACCGTGTACTATGCTTCTGCCAATAGTTACGAATTTTTAAAGAATATTAATTAATTAGAACCATGCCCAACCGTGTCAAGACCAACATGGTATTTTGAATTGACCATCACTGACCAGTGAGCGGTTTACCTCTGAACGTTTCGTCATTCTTTTATAAAGCTGAGCAATTACTTCTCCTGTTATTTTTTTGGTAATTATCTGATGTGTGGCTGGCGGTCAAGACAAGCAGGACCTCCGGGAGCCCAGTTTGTTCATTTTTGACCATGTTTGGTCATCCCCTGGACCTTATGAACTCGGTGAAGCTACCAGTTCTGTACTTTAAATTGTCGTCTAGCATCTCTTCCTTGAAATAAAACCAATAAAAACAACCTACGATCATAACAACGGGTTATAGAGAGGAAGTCCTCCACCATGTCGGTCTAACACGCATGGTGTGGAACGGGTTAAAAGGCCTTCAGTATGCTTAAAATACCTTCGGTGACCAAACGCTTAAAAAAGGGGGTACCGCACGCTTGGTCTCCGGTTACAAAGATTTTCAGGGTTTATTAGTTTAACTACGGTTTATAAAGCCTAGTTTTACTAAGCTTTTCAAAGCTTGGCTTTACTAAACTTTGAACTTTGTGTGTTCGGAAACATCACTTCTGGAAGAACTGCTAGTTTAGACTGATGTTGCAGATTTGGCAGCTCTGGTTGATCAGGTCAGTCTTTTTGATCTGGCTGATCTCGCGGTTCTGGATCATTCGGTAGTTCAGGCTGATCTATTAGGTCTGGAAACGGCACTTCAGGATGGTTTTGGATGATCTGGTAGTGCGGTCTAATTTGGCAGAGCTGATTAGTTTGTTTGATTCGATTTTCAGGCTGATCAGGCAGTTTTGGTTTTTCTGGTCGACCTGCTTTTTTTGGTTCTTCTGGCTGATCTGGTAGCTCTGGTCGATCTGGAAGAACTGCTGATTCTGGCTGATCTGGTAGTTATGATTTATCTGACAGTTCTGGCTGATCTGGTAGATGTGGTGGTCCTGGCTAATCAAGTAAAAGACACTAAGGTCTCGAAACCTTAGTAATGGCTAAGGCTAAAGATTGGATCTAGCTGATCTGGTTAATCGGGTAAAAATTCGTACAGGTACCAAGGTTTCGAAAGCTTAGTAAAGGCTTTGTGCTGATGACAACGAAGGTTAAATGCTGTACAGGCCTGAAAGCCGTGAAGCTGGTTCTGGCCAATCAGAAGGTAAGGCCGGCTCTGGCCAATTAAAAAGGTTTGGAGGCGGGATCTGTTCGAACAGAGAGTCCTGCTTTAAGAAACTGGATATTGTTTGGCCCTTTGTACTATTGTTTGGTTTGTAATATTTGAAATATTTTTGGCCTTTGCAGATAAGATTGTTTTTTGAATATATTAGGGTGTTATTCTACCTTTCTGCAAAATATCAGAATTTTCTGAATTTAGGCCCGGAAAATGTGCCCTGCAGTAAGATGTCCAGCAGCGTGTAACAATTACTGTACATTACCGAAACTCTTGAGTAGAATTACTGGAGTGGTTTCCGCTCGTACATTAGACTAGCGCATTTTTCCTACCTAAAGGGAGAAAAAATACTTTAGCGGCTCGAAAAGATGCACTAAAATAATTCTTGAATGGGAAAACCACATAGAGCGTGGTGCCTTTCGAATTTCGATCGAGCCGGTACGGCAACGTAAGAAGGTGTCGCAAGAGAATGCGACGCACGAGAAACAACATCAAAACGATTTGCTGAACAAGAACGAACTATGACGAGAACAACGAACCAGTGATGCCGTGGTGATGATGCCGACAAGGCACACCTCGACAGCATATGTTTGGAAATCTTGCTTGGGCCGGCAGATAACAAAACAACACGCCGTGAGAATTCATACGCGCAACATTGATAACGGTTCCAGTCAGAAATTCCTGCAAAGTCGTATACTACGTCCTATAATTCTGTGAAACGTATACGTTCCACTTCATTACAGCGGTAATTAGCATTTGTATCCTTTCAGATGTCAAGGTGACAGCGGTGGACCGCTGGTATGTCAGTCGGATCTTTCCAATCCTCAGCAATATTTTCTTCAAGGCATCACATCATACGGATAGTATGAATATTATGATACCTGCTTAGCCTTTTCCAAATCTTGTTTTATTAAGTTTATACGTACGATACTTGGATCTCACTATAAAAACGAACCTACGATATAGTGGATGCGCTTCCGGTAAACCTGGAGTTTTTGCGGATGCCAGGCGAATGCTGCCTTTCTTGATCCAAACGGTTTATGATAACAAGGTCGGTTGGAACCCTGATGTGACAGTACCCAAGCTACGCCATCGTCCGCATTTCGAGCCATCATATGCTCCGAGAGTGCTTCCTGGACCAAACGAAAAAGAAGAAGCTGATCCAGAAAATTCTTGTGTCGCTGGTTCCCTGTCGCTCGTAATCATCACAGGAGCTGGCGCAGTTACACTTTTTGCGCGTTACTATGGCGAAGTTTTCAATAGCAGCGAGATAACGATATTTTCATACTTGTATTTGGTTGCAAAGGCGCTACATGTCTAGATATCAACATCAACTGCACTTCAAATTCCACAATTATGGCGTTACCTATTATTAAGTCGGCCAATTTAAAATGCTGGAATTTACAGCGTTTTTATAGAAATTTTTAGGTTTAGTGTGTTCGTTAAGCGACACGAAATACGTAATTATATTGAAATGGTCATAACTGCCGAATATGGATTGTAGATATACGATTAAATATTACAGTTGGATATGTACTCGTATGCTGTACCTGCATCAACCCCGAGCGCTACCATGCCTTTTGCTGTTGTTCGTTCTTAATGTTATATGTCTGGCAGCAAGTCTGGAAATACCTGAGATGGTCGTCCCTAGTGACGTGGACGACTCTCATATCTTCCAGTTGAAAAATGACGGCGACGTTTTTCAAGTCTTGTCTCCCAATTATCCCGAAAATTATCCAGTTAATCAAAACATATCATACTGGTTTAAAGGAAATGGAAAAGCTCTAATGGTAAAACATGTGCAAGCATTAGGCGCCAATTCCATCATTAAGGAACCTTTGAAGCATTTCCCTTTTATAGATCAGGTCGGCAACGATGAATTTGCAAGCTCTTGAGCCGAGCGGTGTATGTGTGAAGGATTATTTAGTTTTCTGGGACTTGCAGTGTAAACCTTACCCGGTTCTGTAAAAGTGACGTAAATCGTACCAGAGTTTTCGATAGATCCATGGAGCATTTTACGGACAGCGTGCGGAAATGCACCATTTCAAATTAACAGCTACAGTGATTCTGTTGTAAGTCACTGTGCGTGATGTTTACAAAAATCATCTGCATCATGTACGTGCAATCAGTGATTAAGTGTTCCAGATGATGCTTTTCATTTCGGATTCATCACAGAACTTCAAAGGCTTCAATTTGACCCTAAAATGTACGTGACTTACGTGAGTTATTATGCTCACACAGGACACATTCCAAAATATGAGGACAAGTTTATTATGGTGTGCGATATCGATGTATTGGAACATTTTCGTTATTAAAATTTTATTTCTGCTGAAGTAAATCTTTTTAGCCATCAACGAGAGCAAATATTGCGGGGAGGGAGACTTAAGGTGCGTTTCCGCAAATAAGGACGAGCCGTTATGTCTGCACAACGATCGCATTTGCGATGGTAAGAATTTCTGGCATGCTGGTAGTCATCTGCATGGTTTTCTATGAAACAAAATTATAGAATTTAGATATTTGTCTTCCAGGAGTTCAGCAGTGTGCAGGTGGAGAAGATGAGATTTGTACCCAAGAGTGCGGGATTCCACAGGTTATAACAGATGAAAACCGCATTGTTGGTGGCGTCGATGTGCGTATTAGCTGTGAAACGCGACAGACACTGATTACGTACTGTAGAAGTAGAGCTTAAGCGAGCAAGTTGCAAATTCTAATTCTTTTTCGCACCCGGTAACTATTATCTTCTTTGATTAAGGCTACTCCAAGCGCATGGCCCTGGCAGACGGACGTAATCATCAATAATTACACTGGTTGTGGAGGATCATTGGTAAAGAGCAAAGACTTCTGGTAGTGCCATAACATTACCGGCTTATTTACGACTACAAAACCAGCATTTCAGATTGGACCCGGTTGGGTTGTGACCGCTGGGCACTGCTGCTCGCAGTATGGCCAGTAGGTTAGCTTCTAGCTGGAACTCTTTCATGAAAGGGGGCATTATTAAATCATAAGCATTCATTTTATTTTTCATACTATTTCTAGGCGGTTTCCTGTACAGGACTACAGGCTTAGATTTGGATATCAGAATTGCAAGGATAAAACTGACGGACAGACCATGCTTGTAGACCAAATGTTTGTCCATCCAAGGTTCACCGAGAGTAGCACTGGAGCCAATTATGATTACTGTCTACTAAAACTCAAACAGGTCAGACTACGGCTGCTTTCCACTATCAAGTATTTTGTTCAGTCACAAAGGCGCACACACTGGTCATGTACGCTCCCGTGTTGCTAACATTAATATAGAGGATAATACGAATGAGTACAGTATATAATACTTCATACAACTAAATGCACAAGTATGAATATGCAATGAAACTTTAATGAGGGGAGCCGGTCGCTGGTGGTCTGCGGCTCCAGCCGATGGTCTACCAGTTACGAGTAACTCCTTATTTCCGGCTGCACCAGGCTTTTAAGCCGTTGCCGGAGCATGCAGAGATTGTGCAAGTGAAGATGTAGATGTACATGCAGTGATGTATTGCATGATATAAATATGTATGGCTTGGTGGATTCTACTAGAACTGCCATAATGATGTAGACGGTCACCTTTGGACCAAAAATCCAACCAGTATGCCTTCCGCGTCCATTAACGATGCCTGTGGCTGGAACGACATGTGTGGCGACCGGGTGTGGTAACACTGTGGCCTGGAAAGGCACACAGTCAGGAAACGTAAGTATTCCGGACAAACTGCAAGTGGTGAATCTCAAGACTGTGGCCAGTTCAGATTGCGTCAAGGCCTTTCACATGATGACACCGGAGATGAACTGTGCATTCCAATCTAACAAAGACACGTAATAATAAAAACACTTTCGGAAATGACGTTATGTCTAATTTGCGTTTTCTTCATAAAGATGCCAAGGAGACAGTGGTGGACCCCTTGTCTGCAAAGGGCCTGATCTCAGTGTTTCACAGTATCAGTTAGTGGGAATCACATCTTATGGATTGTAGGTTTTACTAACCTTCCTACCTTAGTTATCGTGTAGCGGTAACTGTAAGGGCACCCTTTCGTAGCGGGTGCGCCTCCGGACTGCCAGGAGTTTTTGCGGATGTTCCTCGGCTGATGCCTTTCTTGATCAAAGTATTGTATCAGACCCAAAGTTGGGGATGGTTCAGTAACACAGCAGTGCCTACTCCTCCTCGAAGTCCTGATGGAGCTATGTACGAGCCCAGAGTAAACAAGGTTCTTCCGCCCGAACAGCACGATGCGAACGAAAGCGGTGCCCCGATTCTGTTACCGTCAAGTATTTTCACAATCTTTCCTCACTTGTGCATATTAAAACTACGGTATCTTACTCTATAGCAAGGTTTTTAATAACTGTTTTAGTTTTGTTTTCCCGTTGTTATTTAATCCACGTTTGTTTTCCAAAATCTTAAATTTTCACTTAGTGTCTGTCTTCTATCCAAATAGTGATACTCTGTTATTGCTTACAACATGCAAATTCAGATGATACAGCAAAGTTCTGGTTTTTCTGCCGTGCCGCATGTGCGTTACAACGCAAAGTTGTGTCAGTGACTACTCACAAGTTACAACACTGGAAAGCGCTGTAGTCCTCACATAGACAGTTGCTGATACGAGTAGCTGGACATGGCATCAGAAGCATTGGCTTTTTGATATTTAAATATTTAACTTTTGCTTAAGAATTGCCACGTATTTATGCGTCCGGCTTACGGAGCGCAGCAATCCTGTGAAAATTCTGACACACTGACATACATCTTCGCGTAATCATTCTGAAACACACACCGCACACGAATACTCTAACTAATCTTCACGCAACGTAATAAGTACGCTTTTATTGCGTTTAAGTACGCCATGGGCGCCGTCCCGCATCACGTCGTTTGAAGAAACATATTACGGATTCATTTTCCCTTTATCCATATGGGAATCGTCCGCTGTTTCATCTTTTTTCTTTTTTTCTGCCCGCACTTCCTCCATTGCTGCAAGATCATCCGTTGCGCTACCAGTGTTGAGGACTAAACTACGCTGAACAGTGATGTTGTCCAAGACGGTCTATAGCAAACAGTAAATTGTGGTAAGAAATCATAAGGGTAGACCATGACGATTTCTAACGTAATAATTATGGAGTTAGTGTAGTCCGATCCGGTGCTCACCGCTAGCTGCTCGTTGGTTCGAATGACTGCTTCAAGCTCCTCCAGCTTTCTCTGACTGTCCAAAGCCCTTACTTCTTCATTTCGCTTCTCCAGCGTATCGAACTTTTCTTTCCATTCATCTACTTGCCGTTGCAAACTGATGTTGCGAGAATTGTAATCCGTAATCTGCAGGCATGGGGAATTACCACAAAAGACAGGTGGCGGCGTACGTTCTTTGTACGCACGAGTAGTTATTGCGAGACACACCTTTGCTGTGCATTCGTTTTTACCTTGTTCAGACAAAAGCACTTTGCGCATACCGTAGGCCATGCTGCTTTCGAAAAGCGTTTGATACGCTGCGATCGACATACGAATCTCATCGCGAACTCGTAAAAGCATCAGTCCCCGTTCTGCACACTCTAAGGTGGCTTGCCGAATCAGCTCATCTAGAACATTTTCTAATGCTACTGATCAGTTATTTGACTCTCTCGGCAATGAAACTGCAAATTTTTTTCAGCTGACTCCATCGTAAGAGTGTTACAAAATTGCTACTTAAGAGAAGAGAATTAGATAACTTACCGAATGCCTGTGTATATAATTCTCTTCGGACTGGACAAATTCCAGTTTCCCGCGCACCTAAATGCTCGAGTCTGTTATCCAGTCGCTCTTGCAAGTTCAGAACGTCCATTCTGGTAGCAGGTATACGAGAAACTTTTTGCACGTATTGCAGGCCATTCTCAGTCCAAAGTCTATAAACCATCTATATTTGTACGTAAATGAACACACCAAAGTTTTACTTCCAAGTTCCTACGACATAATATGTAAGATGGTTTCTGAATAAGTAGCTTTGTAGTGCTGTTTAATTTACCTGGGTGGCAAAATGTAATCGAGAATATCATCCGCCGAGCGAATATCAAAAATATTAAGATTTTTTGGCGGTTTTTTCTCCGGTCTCGGGGGTACCGACAAAACGATATTGTAATCCTCGCTTTTTATAATACTGTTCCTAGAACCATCTTTCTTTTCCCCTTTTTTCTGGAATAGCAACATGGCTTGATAGAGTGCCGATGCAAAATGAAAAATGCAAAACGTGTAGGCGTACGGTTGGGGAAGCGGCAAAGCGTTTGGTGATAACAGTTGGGTGGCCGTATTTAAGCAGATGATCAGAGGGCGCAGGGCCGCTGTACCGCTCTGTTGTCTCCATTTTGAGAAGCAGGTTCAATACCTATCAAATGCGTATGCACGTTTGCATCTGCGAGCAGCCGCCAAATATTGCTGCTGTTGTTATTCTGTTTGCAATACGGCATAACAAAATTATATTGTGCTGCCGAGAGCGAGTTGAACATGTTGTTGTTGTATAAGTACATAGGACATTAAAATTTTGTATGAGGTTGTTAAGCAACAAGCCGTGGTAGCAACAATGCAGTCGAAGTTTATAGGCGTTACGCCGTTAATGTACATTAAAAACAAATTTGTTTTGGAATTCATAACCGCATTAATCTCCCGATAACATGCTATTACTGCGGCTTCTAAATTCGTTTTCCTAAGCCATGGATTTTCTGCAAAAACCATGAATTACTTAATTACAGTGAAACACTGCAACTGTAAGCCTGTCACCCCGATTACAACCGAAGGGAATTTCTAGCAACAAGCAAAACTGAGCTGTAACAGAAAACACAATGAGCCAAAGCGAGGATAAATCGTCTACGTCGATGGTAAGAGAATTAGTTCGAAAGTGCGTTTTCCAGCTGTATACTACAATAATTATTTACGCGCTATCGCCGTTACAAGGCCTGGTCAGCCAATGGCATCTGTTAAAAGGCGCTACTTGTGTTGATGCATGAAGCTTTAATATACTACTAGTACGCATACTGAGCACAAACGAATTTAAAGCGAAGTAGCGCCGCAATGTCCCGAGAGATCCGCTCATTACTATTAGTACGAGTAATAACTACTTCGTAATTAATTACTACTTAATACATAATGTACTAAGTAGGTAGTAATTACTAAATTAGTAAGTAGTAATTACTACTTAACTTAGTTAGCTACATATTATTTCCTTGCTCACGTTGCAATTGTAGACACAGCCACAGAAAGGTTTAAGCGAATGTTTACTGTAGTCATCCTGCCAATACGTAAACTATTCTTTGAACTGTGCTGCACTTTCTGCTATTTATTTACCTTCTGATATAACTTTTTGCAGTTTGAATAATTTTTAGTAATACTAATAACTCATAACAACGAACGATATCCGAAAAGCAAGACACACTAGGACAAAATTATTATCCGTTCTTTTTTGTTTCTTTCAGAACCTTTTTACCGCACCGGCTGCTCGACAGCATGGCCATACCTTTTGGTCAGCTTCAGACCTCAGCGGAGCAGATAAGAGTGAAGTAGAGATACTTGTCCCAACCGCGAGTGCTACGTCGAACAAATCGGCCAACTGGGTTCCATCGCAATCGAAGGTGCTTTCACCGAGCAGCACCATGGACAAGCAGCCGCTGCCATACAGTACATTATTTGGACACCAAGCCGGTACTTGCAGGCTACTTATGTCCTGGACATTTACACGTGTACAACTGCTGGGATTTAGACGTCATTTACACAATTATTGTCTGTTCAATTAGTTCTGGCTCCCAGCGCTGCAACATTGGCGTCAAATGCAGTTTCTGCTTCCGTCAATAGCGGTGCCAAGTCGGAGAATCAGAGAAGGGAATTGCAAGACAATCTATCAATCAGCACTCCCATAAGTACATCAGCCATGAAACTTTTGTCACCAGTGACATCATTTGTCAAGCAGCACACGCCGTTGATGGGTGCACAGGAAAGCAAACTGGGCATGCCCCTTGGTGGTCGCCGAGCGAGTTTTCTAGATGCCCCGCCGGTTCGGTTGGACAGAAAGGCCACAAAAGAGATCAAAGAAAAGAACCGGGAATTGCAGAAAGCCGTGGAAAGCACCAAAATGGTTGTTGCCAGAGCGTCGCAACAGCTAAAGGAAACCAAGCAGCTAGATGAGCTGAAAAAGGAACTTGCGATGGTAATAAACTTGTTTTAAAAACACAATCTTTACTTTAATAAGAGAAGCAAATTTTTATACTAAAATTGAAGTATCTTTTTATTGAACAGACTACGGATATACTTATTTTTTTTATAATGTCAACGTGCTTAATCATATTTCTATGTTAATGCAACTCAGCGTGTAATAGTTTTACCTCCACTACACCTACATTTACACAAACACTGAAACACCTACATTTACACAAACTACCACCAAACAGTATAGACGTTTGTTACATACTTACTATAGGCAATGATGCTGGCAATCGTACTCGTAGTTCGTACATACAGTGCGTATGAAATGTGCGATAATTTGGCATTGCTCTTGTTACTGTGCCAGTATGTTTTAGACCGAACATATGATGACCGTTGACGAGTTGTGCGCCATGATGGAAGTAGACCCGGAAATGGTACTCCTCTTTGTGAGATTTACCGAGACTGGACGTTCTGAGCGCCATTTATATTAACAGGGACTGTCTGAAAAGACAGTGGCACTACGCTTAGTTCGTGACGGACCAAATGCGCTGCCGCCTAAGAAAGAGACACCTGGTTGGGTACTCTGGGCCAAGCAAATGACCGAAGGATTCTCGCTGCTGTTGTGGGTTGGCGGTTTATTAGCAATCATCGCTTATTTTATACAGAATGCCGACCAACCACACACGCCAATGGACAACGTAAGATTCCGATGTTTCGCTCTCTTTAGTCCCAGTGATCTGTAGTAGTTAAGTCCGCGATATATTACTAATCGATTGTAGTTATAGCTTTATTTAGGCATCGTCCTAATTTGCGTTGTGTTCATTACGGCAACGTTTTCTTATGCGCAAGAGGCGAAGTCGTCAAGCATTATGAATTCTTTTCTGAAAATGGCCCCCCAGTTCGCTTCAGGTACGAGAAACTTATTGCCATTCATCATGACTTAAGTTCAATCGGCTTTAAGGGACGGACAAATAGGTCTAACAAAAATGAACTCCATTAGTTCTTTTGTTTGCTACGTAGGATGCAATCTTATACGGTATTAATTGTATTTCCGATTTGTAGCGGTTAGAAATGGCGAAAAGAAAGGAGTGATTTCCAGTGACCTGGTGGTTGGTGACATTGTGGAAATCAAAGCCGGTGACAAGATACCGGCAGATATCCGGATCGTAGAAAACAGAGGATTAAAGGTTTAGAAAAGGGATAAACTAATCTACTTTGTATAAGGATATAAGGATGCATACATCCAGGCCCGTGGGCGCACTGCCCTCACCCCCCCCCTTTTTCCCTTTAAAGACGAACAAAGTGTTTTGAAAAATGGTGCGCCCTGAGCTGGCTCATGGCACAAAACAGGCGTAGGCGCAAGAAAACTGAGCAGGCGTATGCATACATCGTATCATACCTGCGGAATAGCCAAGCGCTTAGTCAGTAAACAATTTTATAAGATTTCAGTTCCTACACACAGAGTCAGATTCTCAACTGCCTTTTTCTTGAACAGGTTGATAACGCCAGCCTGACCGGTGAATCAGAGCCATTAAGCCGCTCTGTGGATGGCACAGATGAAAATCCTCTAGAAACGCGAAATCTGGCTTTTTTTTCAACGTATGCTGTAGAGGGAAGCGCTATTGGAATTGTTGTTCGAACTGGAGAAAGAACTATCATGGGTCGGATTGCCAAACTAGCAGCGGCAGTGGAAACTGATCTCACGCCACTGGCCATTGAAATGCATCGTTTTGTCAAAATCATGACATGTTTGGCAGCTTTTATGGGCTTACTGTTCTTTGTCATCGCGTTGGCACAAGGACAGAATATTCTACCAGCATTTGTTTTTCTGATCGGGGTTATTGTTGCCAATGTACCGGAAGGAATTCTGCCGGCCACAACGGTGATTTTCTATAAAATTTTAATATTGTTACCACTCTCTCGAGTGAAGCGTTTCCGACAGTTCGGCTATAATTTCATAAGGCTAGCTCTATAGCTTGTTTCAAAGAAATAATGTGAAAGAAGTTTTGCTTCAAGACAGAATTCATAGTAATATTTGGAACACTTATTACGGTCTCGACACTCTGTGAACGCGACCTGTGTTAATAAACCATGCACACAGTAACGTACAGTACAGTACTTCTTTTAAAAAAAATATGTATATGTATGTCGAAAGTCCCCTTGTTTTGCATCATCAGCTTACCACTAACAGAATTCCTTGACAAGTGAGACCTTTTTCCATTGATTTTTAGGTTGCTCTAGCATTAACAGCAAAACGGATGGCTCGAATGAACTGTTTAGTAAAAAATTTGGCTGCTGTGGAAACTTTGGGATCGACATCCGTCATATGCTCCGACAAAACCGGCACACTTACCCAAAATCGCATGACCGTGGCGCATTTATGGGTGAATAATACCATAATCGAATGTGATACGACGGAAGATCAGAGCAGTAAGACCAACGTAAGGGTCTATTCATACTTGCATAGCTACATTATAATTAACGTACCAAGGTTGCCTCTTTAGTGCACTGGAAATTATTGGTATCGTACAAGCCGATATTGATTTTTCAGAAAACATTAAAGTAAAGATAGACTCACCCACGATGAAAGCCGTGCTGCGCTGTCTCACGCTATGTAATCGCGCGATCTTTAAACCTGACCAGAATTCCGTGCATATTATGAAGCGGGAAACCATCGGAGACGCATCAGAGTCCGCTATGCTAAAGTACACCCAGATTCACGTTGGAGATGTGCTCGGATATAGGGAAAAAAATCGCAAAGTTTGCGAGATCCCATTCAATTCGACTAACAAATATCAGGTACAATGATACGTGTATAATAAATAAATCCGTAGCCGACGTTGCGCGAGCAAGAGAGAAAAACTCAAGAGTTGCTTTTCAAAAAGTGTGGGTACGACGAATTTTTTGTAATTTAATGTTCCGGTGATGAAAAGATACCGAAAGGGTTTGCATTAACGGTTTTGGTCCTGTGCACAGAAGAGAAAATTTGATTAGCAAACTGGGTGATAAATGCCTTTTTATTTTAGATTTCTATACACGAATCAGCAGACTACGATGGCGAATATCTGTTAGTTATGAAAGGTGCACCTGAACGCATCATTGAGCGCTGCGATTTTGTTGAATTCAACGGTGAAGCAGAACCAATGAGTTCCGAATGGATGAGGTATTATGACGATACTTATGATACCATAGGCGGAATGGGCGAACGCATCATCGGTAATACGCTATACTTTTTTTCAATGTTTTTTTTTATTCCAAGCACAACATCAGGGTTTCTAACAGGTTTGGCAGAATTACGGCTTTTGCCGAAGAAATTTCCAAGAGGGTTCCAATTTGACTCTGATAAGCCAAACTTTCCATTGCGAGGACTGCATTTTCTTGGACTGGTGTGTCTTATTGATCCGCCACGTGCAGCGGTTCCAAATGCGGTTGCTACTTGCCGAGAAGCCGGTATGAAATAAGTTATCCAGATGTTCAACGAGAAGCCGGTACGAGATAGGTCATTCAGATGTTCGACTGAATTCAGACGCAAAAATTTTGTACGATTACCTTGTTCTTCATCAGCAAACCGGGCGCCCCGTTATTGGAAAAAAGCGGCTTAGATTAAAATTAATAGTAGTTGCAGTTTAAAAATGTACGAGGGTTGTTAGTTATGTTCTGTCGTATTAATTTTATTTATTTTTGGATTCATGCAATTATTATATTATTTTCATGTTACTATTACTGAACTCCTAAGGCATCGTTTTCATCTGTTGCCAGATTTGTAAATACGACACAAAAAAGTTATACTGTAGTGGCTCGCACATCTTGAACCACAGAGTTGGTGTACGGGAAAAAAGCGCATCTAATATACACACTCTAACAGGGCCAAACGCACGGTGTGCACTGATAAATTTCTTATGTCTCACAACATCTGGTCTGGAGAACCTTCTTGAATATTAAGAAAAATTAGAGCTCTAATAATTATTAATTATATTTATGTCCGAAAGTAGCCATTAACTTAGAGCTTCGCTGTCAACTCGAATTCAAAAACTGATTTGTTGTGGTTTTTGGGGTGCCCCTGGAGGGGAAGGGGTACGTTCAGCGACAACATTCTACAGGTGCAGAACAATTCCAGCTCTCAGTTACAGATCTTTTTTTAAGAGTGAATTACAATTTAAAGAAAAGGTTTGCATATTGGACAGATTCAGAAGGAGTATTCATCTTAAAATCAAATCAAGCATTATTTCGTAGCCGTGCATTTTGCCCGGTTAGAGTGTGTATATTGGATGCAGTTTTTTCCCGTATACCAACTCTGTGGTTCAAGATGTGCGAGCCACTACAGTAAATTTTTTGAACGATGGCACCTTGGAAATTTCGTTTAATTTTCTTATTTTTTGTTATTTCATTTCTCTGCAACGAATCTTTCCGATTCGGAAATATTTTGAACCTGTGCGGAATCAAGCTTATCGAATATTTAGGTTACACGAATATCCGAACTAGGGATTAAGCAAAACAATTTTTTTAATATTTAGAGGTTTCTGGTTTGGGTCCGTCGTGGTGCCAATTACACCAGTAGATCAACTCCCGCCTCCATTTTTTTGCGTTTTCTCAAAGAAAGTTGTCAAGGTATTTGCAGATTACTGTAAACGGTTGATAGTTATTTCCGACAGAAAAGGCTTCTGGAAATAATTTCATTTGCTGCGAGGCGCACCAACATAAACGTTTCTTCGAATGCTTTTTGGCTCTTGGTCTCCCACTCCATTGACAAAACCCTGTTCTGTTATGCTGCTTCCACCAAGTATGGCGCTAAGCAAATCGGGATCTGTCGTGAGTGTAGTCTTAGGATTGATAGCTAAATGAGAGAAGTTTGGCTTTGCTAAGGAGCATTAAATGCAAAAGCACCAGTAACCACTAGTCAGCGTAAGTGGTGCCCGACGGTACTCCGCCTTGCTAAAAATCAGATCCACACGCAATACAGAATCTGTTACTGGGGATCTGCTCTATGCTTCCCTGTCCATCCATCGGACAAACACATTTGGGGATCGGTGTCTGTCACGCGCAACAGAATGGCTTGCTATTTTAGGTTCCTCAACAAACAGACTGTTCCGATCTCCTCTCGCCATCCCTTGTTAAAATTCCAGAATAAAAACCACAAGACAAGGGCTCAGTAGTTCACGCAGAAGAACATTTAATCACCAACATAACAAGCACTTCAGATAGTCAATGAGTTGCATCCCAGTTTTTTTAAAAAATTTTAATGTGAAACAGCGCAAGCCTACGTTCGGGTGTTAATGCGCCATTTTTAATTGCGAAATAAATTTGGTGCGAGTGAGTCGTGCTCTGACTCACGCTGACTGCCACCGAGAGCGGCCATTGACTCGGCCATTAGCCTACTATTACAGTTATGATATGCTCTATTTTTTAATAATAATTTCATATTTTTAGTTTCATAACTGATATACGCACGACAGAACATAACTAACAACCCTCGTAGCAATGTTTACGAACACTTGGTGAAGAATTTTACTAGCGGTTTTCTTCCGCCACTAAAGGTATTCGGGTGATAATGGTAACCGGCGATCATCCTACGACTGCTAAAGCCATAGCCCGAACTGTGGGCATTATCAGTCCGGAAAGTGAAACAGTGGATGACATTGCAAAGCGGTTGAATGTGTCTAAGCAAAGTGTTGATCCTAAACTTGCCGAAGCCGTGGTTGTTACCGGCGCTGAGTTGAAGGATATGCCGTCAGAGAAACTGGATTCAATCTTTCGGACACATTCTGAAATCGTTTTTGCTCGGACTTCTCCACAGCAAAAGTTGATTATCGTTGAGGGAGTACAACGGATGGGCTGTATTGTCGCTGTCACGGGCGATGGCGTCAATGACTCTCCTGCCTTGCGGAAAGCCGATATCGGTATTTTAACTCTGTAGCCAATGCAGTAACGAAATTTTGGCGAAGAAACCTTACATTACCGTACTGGCAACCTCCTTAAGTCTCGGTTGCTTTCGCAGTTTTAAACCGCATTACTTTATGATACAAGGTTTGATAAATTCAGGAATCGCAATGGGTATCACTGGGAGTGATGTCAGCAAGGACGCAGCCAAAATGATATTGTTGGATGACAATTTTGCCTCGGTGGTTATTGGCATAGAAGAAGGGCGACTAATATTTGACAATCTGCGGAAAACCATTGCGTATATGTTAACATCAAACATACCCGAAATCATACCGTTTTTGATCGCGGATATTTGTGGAATCCCACAAGCAATCGGCACTGCCGGTATCTTATACATCGATTTGGGTACCGATATTGTATGTCAGAATGTCAGCACTATGCTCTTTTGTTAACGAGGCTTTCTTTCGGCTACACAAAACGCGCATGTCATGGGCTCGTTTGACACCACAAGCGCGACTCGCTGACATGAACGCTAAAAGTCGTCGATGTGTGTATGCTGCTGGCCAGAAGGCTGCTATTCTTCATTAAATCTAACCTAGACGACGATGCATGATACTATAATAATTCTGCTTAAACTCTGTTGTTTTGATAGCTACCTGCTATAGCAATGGCTTATGAGCGCTCGGAGACCGACATCATGAAGCGTCCCCCTCGAGATCCGCAACATGATAAGATCATCAACAAAAAAGTTATGGGGCAGGCCTACTTTCAGATTGGGGTTCTACAGTGTTTGGCTGGCTATTTGACTTATTTTGTCGTCTATGCCGAAAACGGTTTTTTTCCTCGGAAAATCATGTACGGCCTTGATGAGCAATGGTCCAACGAAGCCGCTACTGACCTCATAGACTCGTACGGCCAGGAATGGGTAAGGATAATTGTTAAAAGGCAACTGAACAGTTACGTACATAATATTTGTATGACACGCTATTTCATGCAATTTAGTAGTTTACAATGAGTACGAGGTACATACAAACTTAAGGTGTAAAGAACTGCGCGCTGGCGGCGTTGTTATCAAATATTTCCTTTACATCAGATTCAACATTTACACTTCGAATACTGCCTTATATGGGCTCCCCTTATATTACTCTCCCTTATCTGGGCTCCCGGCTAGTTAGCATTTAGCAATATACCCGTCAAATTATATTTATCGGATATACAGCAGAACCCTTTTCTACTTCTTTTCAACCGGATTTACCAGTGAGCACACCAAAGAATTCCGAAATTTCACATCCGAATTATATTTATATATAATTTACATATATTTTTTAAACGGATCGACTCAAACTCTTTAGCGACCTTTATTGGGTTATTCAGGTTAACATTGGTTAAACTCAAAACTGCACAGTTCCCATCATTTCAACACATAGTACACTTCATCCAGTCTCTTACCGATACAAAACGTTTCTTGGACAAACGCAGCGTCACCTCGCATTAAAGCAACACTTTAGCGTATACTTATATTTCACTAGGCTTTATGACTGGCAAAATAAGTATTTTGAATAAATCAAAATTTTCAGTCCGTAATAACACTGATAACAGCTGTGAAAGTGTGAGTAATAAAGTAACCGCCCATGTAGAAGGTTGCTTATAATGCTCGGGAGCCCAGATAAGGGAGAGTAATGTAAGGGGAGCCCATATAAGGCAGTGATTGAAGTACTTCTACTGCAGTAGTAGTTTGTTTATACTTAAGTATAAGCACTGTATTTTATATTGTATCTTGCTGTTATTATTGTATTTGCTGTGCCTGTGACACTCTGCCT